TGTACAGTATGTGGAAAATAATGTGTTTTTTGAACCTTAAACCGCATAAACACATTTCATTACACCAAATACACAAAATAATGTTCTTTTTAGCAGCATCATATGTCCCCTTTAATGAAACACAGCTGGACACAAATGATAACCAATGAGGACAGGACACAGGAAGAACCAAATAAGGGCAAACCGGGAACATACACGTGACAGTACGGATGTTTAGAGAAGCATATGAAATTTGTTCCATCAATAAGTGACAAGAAAAGAATGGCAGATGTAAACATATGGTGCAGCTGAATATAACACTATAATACAACAACCAATATAAACAAAACACGTAGATAAACGATTTATAACATTTTTGTTCACGTTTTAGAAATGAGACCCAGTGTCTGTGACAGGAGACATATTAAGTGTAGATCAGATTCTTGTGATATTATAACAAATAACAGCCACTCTAAATTGTACAACAAAACATCAATGTCTTCCTCATAGCAAAAGTGTGAATAACATATAAACCAAATGGCCACCATACCCTACAGACAGACATGACAAAATGTCATCAGGGTAGTATCTGTGATATCAAAATAATACATTAACTAATGTATAAACAGTATTAGACAACACAAAATGTCCTAATTAAACTGATAAACACAAATAAGGAACACAAATTATTTAAATAACTAGCAAAAAAAAAATGTGTTAGGCCACACTGGGACATTTGTGAATATAATTTTACTGTTTTACATTGTAAATTAAAAGGATAAATGTATTTTTCTTACTAAAATACAAGACAAAATATATGTACTATGTACTGTCAACATTTCAAAAATAAATAATTTGGTAATTCACGCTTGTTTCAGAAGTACGAAGAAAAAACTACATGTGAAATTAAATGTATTGTCTTGTTAAATGGAAAATAATGATATACTGTACATATTGTGAATGTTAAATTGAGTATGTTTACCAATTAGCAGGCTTTTTTTTTTTTACAGTGGCAGCTTAATTTTTTCAGAAGGTGTTTAGGGTGAATGTGGCTCTTACCTCTGAAGCAAATGCAGGACAAAATGAGCCCACAGATCAGAGGGCAGGAGAACTTCATTTCGAAGCGTTTAATCACAAATCCAAACTAACATACCTTAAGCGTTGTCAAACTCGCTCACATTAAAACACACCATCAGTCATTACTTCCTTGAGTGTCAGTGTGCCCAAAGTTTCATCTCATGCAATCTCCCCCCTCGTTTTCACTTCTGTCTTCTTGTTAAGGTGAAGTGTGAAGAGTGTGGCAGATCATAGTTAACCAACAACACCTTTCTTTGTTCTCAATATTCTCAAAACGGATCTAAATTTACCTTATACAATGAATTTCTGTGTAACTCAATACATGACTGGTTTGGTTTGATTTGATTTGCTAAAATAAAAGTTTAACATCAGAATAAAATAAAATTATAAACTATATTGTATAACTGTTATATTTTAGAATTTTCCTCTCATTCTGATGTTTTTTACATTTATTTTGGAGTACTTTGCAATGCAATTAAACGCAATGCAAAATCAGCATGACACAATAAATGGATGCAAAGGTAGTTTGCTAATGCAATGATGACATTTTAGTGTCCACTGTAAAGCTCAACATATCAATTTAACTAATTGACATTCTTAACGTTGACCTCCAGAATGGCTCTTAAGCCTCTAAATGCATGCTGGGCACTTCATTAAAGACATTATGCTCTCCTGCCTGCAGTCTTTGCGTGTTAATGAAGTCAGCTGCAGCAGTCACTTTGGGCCCTTCAGCACTGCTGTCTGCTCTGATGCACCTGTGATGCACAATGATTGTTTTCCGCTGCTGGTTTGACCACTGCTGTATTGCTTAAATAGAACAGCAGATGCAATGATAACCTGAACGATACAAGCTAGTCATTAGCCACTGAGACAGAGATACTGTGAACAATTATAGCTGCAGACAGCATTTAAACAACAAATTCAGCATATTGTATTACAGCTTTACACATTTGTGCATGTTTTGAAATTCATTCCAATACTTCTTCCTCAAACTGACACTTATTCCACAAGACCTTCTAGATCTGAGCTCATTATGAGCTCTAAATTATTTTAAAGATTATACCTCAACTTCATCCATTTCATACCACAGGGCATCTTCTCACGAGGCACTTTGCCAGGAAGTGGTCAAGACAACATCTTGATAAACAGGAAGTCCATCAATGACTGGGTGGGCTTGTGGTTATCTATCATCTGTTACAGTAGGCCTATATGTCTTTTAAAACCTCCCAAACTATAGTCTATTAAAGAAAGCTGTAGGGAGTTTCATTTGTTTCAGTTAGATTTTCTGATCAAGAGGCTGAATTTATTTGATCAAAATACAGTAAAAACAGTAATATTGTGAAATATTATTATAATTTAAAGTAACTTGTTTTCTATTGTAATATATCCTAAAATGTAATTTATTCCTGTGATGCAAAGCTGAATTTTCAGCATCATTACTCCAGTCTTCAGTGTCACGTGATCCTTCAGAAATCATTCTGATATGCTGATTTGATGCTCAAGAAACATTATTATTATCAATACTGAAAATAACAATAATACTTTTTTAACAATTTGAAAAAAAGTTCACCATTTAAAAAGTATCAAGGTATTTTTACGTACCTTGAAGAACAATATAAACCATATAAATATGATAACCTTTCAGTACCATGGTATGTATATCTCATGTACCGTGGTTCTAACATCTGATAGCATGACTGTGGCTTTAAACGGCCTTGTATTCTCAGGTGGTGAGACAGTAGAGGAAATACCCCTTCAGACAAAGCTCAAACAGATCTGAGGCCCACTAAATTCCCAAACCAACAACAAAAACAACTGGAAGAGATTCCCCCACCTGCTTCAACTTTTTATCCAAGCAGATAAAATAAGACTCACAATTTTCTCAGAAATCACACTCACGCTGGAACACATTTCCACACATCAAACACTCTCCAGCAAACGATTATTCTTTCTTCTCCACTCAACTGAGAGTTTTTAATAGACCTCTCAGTAATAACCTGCAGCACATTCCTCCATTATCTGGCTCCTCCCACATTAATTATCATCGTGGTACTCCCCTGAATGCATGGCAAAGACTGACACAGAAGAGAACAAATTGTTGAACAAAGTCGTTATTTTAGTTTCGTATTCTCATAGCTTCATAACATTACATTTGAACCACTGATGTCACATGGACTATTTCTTGCACATTTGGACCGACATGAGGGTGAGTAATTAATGACAGAGTTTTCATTTTTGGGTGAACTGTCCAGTTAATGTTACTACATTTGACTTACAAATTTGCTTACACAAGGTATAACTATGTCCCAAATTATTATTATTATTTTTTTTTTCTTTATTTATTTCTTTTTATCTATTTATTTATTTTGATTTTTTTTGCCTTATTACACCTGTGATCAAAAATTACACACATGCACAAGCACAGATAATGCCTATCACCAGTCAGCTCCCAAAAGAAATAAAAAGCCTGTGTTAAAAACAAGATAACAAAAAAGGTCCAAGGTTTGGTGATAATATAGCATAATGAGAGATTTACAAGCAATTTTTAATCAGAAACACCAAATTAGATAAAGGACTTTGAGCACAGTAAAAGGGCTACATTTGAATGGAGATCTAAACAGTACTGAATCTGAAAGATTTCTTATTCATTTCACATCATAACTTTTGTTTGTTTTGTTTTCAATTATAATGAATCCTAAAATCCTTAGGTTTAAGTTAGATTTTGAATAGCAGATTTTCAGTGCAATTCTTGCATGTTTATGAGCATTAAATTAGCTTTTTCTGTCATTATGTACACCTCATATCCTAAGATTATTATGACCTTTCCATGTTTTCTAAACCTTGGGCTTCCTGCAAGAAGATGGCACCAGCATCCTGACATGAAATCATCAATGCAGCACCACACAGCGGTTTACCTTTAGATTTCTGACAGCACGAGAGCAGGAGAAGTCAAGAGCCTTCATGCACCTGCTCTTACACTGTCTCCTAGCAACCAGAGCGCCAGAGACAGAGATTGATTCTTCAGCCGCTTTACAAGTATTGTGTGTCTGATCATGGCAGTTAAATGTTGGCTAATTGAATTGTTTTTTTTTTTGCTGAGCACTTTCAAAGCCGACGCCATGTTTGAGCTCGCGTCTCACAGCTCGAGCACTCCTGAAATCATCCTCACAGGCATTTCAGCCAAGACCGTTTAATTCAGTTCACTTCCATTCTGAGAGGCCTTATCGATATGACAAACAATCATGTGTTATTATAACACTCACCGATTCTTTCACCGATTTTCTTACACTTGCCGAGATTCTAGTAACTGAGATGAACATAATATTTATAAATATGCAATGACCAAGCTAAATGTAATAGACATTCATGTTCTTGAATATGAAATCAAACTAGACCCTATTGACTTTGGTATTATTGTATACAATTCATTATTTTTTAATTGTAAAGAAAAATGTTTGTTTTCATAGTCTTTTCCCAAAATTACATCAAGAAATAAATCTCAATGTGTCTCCATTAATTTATAGTCTTTAAAATCAACATGAAATCCAAATTGAGTCTATTTACTTTTTATACACGTTCCCATCAGCGTTATTTTATATCTTTGAGATACTACTACAGTTTGTTATTAATATTTTGAATTACTTTTATTTTTAGATTTTGTTTTCATTTTTAATTTTAGCTAAAGATTTAGCAATTTTGTCTGTTTTCATCTTTTTTAGTAGATTTTGTATTTTTATATATGTCTATATAGTTTTTATTAACTTTATTTTGGTTTTAGTTTTAGTTCTTTTAATACATCAAGTTATGTTAAAACTGAATTAAAATGAGAAATGTTTCTTTGGCAACTAGCTGAAAACTAAAATGTTTTTTAAAAGGTTTTTAGTTTCAGTTAACTATAATAACCCTAATATAAATTTATTTGTGCATAATTCAAGTGCATGTTCTTATAAAATAAATAAATAAATGTTAAAAAAAAATTATAATTAATGAATTTAAACAAACAAACAAACAATAAATAAATAAATAAATAAATAAAACGTAAATAGTATTACAGTTATTTAATACTACGTTAATCAGCTGTTCGGACTCTCATTCTGACAGCACCCATTCACTGCAGAGGATCCATTTGTGAGCAAGTGATGTAATGATACATTTCTCCAAATAGGATGTAAAAACAAACTTATTTGCATCTTGGATGGCCTGAAGGTGAGCAAATTTTCATTTTTGGATGATTTTAATTTTAGCTAAAGATTTAGTAATTTTGTTGTCTGATTTCATCTTTTTTAGTAGATTTTGTATTTTTATATATGTCTATATCGTTTTTATTAACTTTATTTTGGTTTTAGTTTTAGTTCTTTTAATACATCAAGTTACGTTAAAACTGAATTAAAATTAGAAATGTTTCTTTGGCAACTAGCTGAAATCAAATGTTTATTTTATTTCAAGTAACTAAAATGTTTTTTTAAAGGTTTTTAGTTTCAGTTAACTATAATGACCCTAATATAAATTTATTTGTGCACAATTTAAGTGCATGTTCTTATTTAAAAAATAATAATAATAATAAAAAATATTTTAAAAAATAAATAAAATATATATATATATATATAT